ATGGATGCAGTAGCTCAAAAGAGAAAACCAATCCTCACTGCAAGAATCATTCCCACCCACTCCACACAAAGAATAGACAGGGATAGGCAACTTGGACATTGGCTACCCAAAATGGGGCGGGGGGAGGGGGGGAGGGACTACAAAGGCAAGAAGTGACTGGCTTACAAGCTTTCAGGAGGGAACCTAGATCCAGAGGGTGTGGAGGAAAATAGAATCTCCAGTGAGTAGTATCCAATCTGCCTAGGCAGAGTTGATGAAATGAAATGCAGATGGGTCTCTTGTGATGCAACAGTGAATAATTGTTATCAGGACTGATTGTGAGAAATGGAAATGTAAAGGTAGACATTTTACAGCAAGGAAGGGAGTGATTAACTTTTCAGTCTAGTAGTGGAGGTCCCTGGGACCATCAAGGGAGAAGAGCCGAGAGCGGGACCCTACCCAGAAAAGCAGTGATGCCAGAGATGGAGACAGAGACGATGACCTGGAGAGATGGAGAGGCTGGGGACTTGAGATCCAGAGAGGGGGGGGGGGGGGGGGGGGGGTGGATGTAACAGGCTGACAGGTTGGTTGATGATGCATGGACGGGATTGTAACTATGGCAACGAAACAATATACAATAGGATGAATGTAAAACTAATGTTCTCCAATGTAAACTATCACATAATTCACAATAAAACATTTTAAAAAAACAAAAGTTTTGGCTATACCACCCACTCCATGTCATCAAAAATCCTCAAAACACAGTTACGCATACTATGATTTGTTCACCCAAAGTACCAAGTTAGTGTCAGCTTGTAAGGTCACCTCAGGGAAGAGGCCATGTCTACTGAGCTCACTGCTTTGTACCTACTGACCAGCATTAGCATGTGCCTGACACACAGGAGGTACTTCAAAATGAAACCAGCTGTTGTTGTTAAGTACCATCAAGTTGGTTCCAACTCAAGGACCTTGTATAGGGTTTCCAAGAAGTGAAGGGCTTTGAAACCTTGCAACTGGTAAGCAGTCTAGTGCTTGACAGCAAGTAACAACAACAACAACTTGATCTAAAAAATGTTGAATTCACATAACAAATACAGTTAGAGTCCTTTAAACAAATGTTTATTAGGTAGCTAATCTGCTAACAGGACTCCTGGTGTGTCGCTGTAGGATCAACAGTGGACTGTGAACCACAAGGTCAGCAGTTCAGACCACCAACTGCTTCTCGCCAAGAACTGACTGGAAGGCACTTAACAACAATATGCTAACAGGGAGCCTTTGGTCTAAATTTGATTCAAAGCTCTCCCTTTGAAAATGAAGGTCTTTTATAGGCAGTGAGTAACAAAGAAATGTTAAGTGATATGCTAGGTGAACAAAGCATTAAGTAATTGGTTTAGTGAGAAGTCTATAATTTTGGGGGAGGGAGTGTAAAATGAAGGAGAGAACACAGTGAGTACATAGAGTATTTTAAAGAATTATTTTCTCTGGGAGGAGCCTGACTTTGAGCCAGTTGTTGGTGGGTACTATCTGACCCATGTGACAGAGTAGAAATGCTCCCTTAGGGTTTTCGTGGCTGTCATTTTTACAGAAGCAGGTCACCAGGTCATTCTCCTGTGGAGCCAGCGGGTAAGGTCGAACCAACAGCCTTTGGGTTAGCAGTCAAAATTTAACTGTTGCATTACACCGAAGGCCCAAGTAAACAACTGATTTAAACCACGAGCCTTGAGTTTCAATTAGTCTCTTTAAATTTTATGAGTATTTTATGGCTATTTATGATGGGCCTTGCTTAGAATAACAGCCTTAGGGAAGACCCAAGGTAATTCCAAGGCCAGCCAAAAGAATGGCTTGATTTTTAACATTTAATACCTTTAAAGGCTCCTTCTACAGAAAAAGGGAGTCCTGATGTGGTGCTGTAGGATAAGCACCGGGCTGTGAACCACAAGGTCCATGGCTGAAACCCATCAGCTAGTCCTTGGAAACCCTATTCAGGGTTGCTATGAGTTAGAATCGACTCAACGACACTTAATAGCAAACCAGAAAAATAGAAGTAAAATTCCTTTTGCATTCAAGCCCTTTTATGAATAAGGCCCTACTTACCTTCCAAATCTATCAGGATTTTGTTTTGGTTATATCCATCCCCATATTTCCTCACCCCAAATTCTTTACACGTATCCAAATTCCACCCATTATTTCAGATCTGGTTCAAATTCCTCCTTTGCCAAAAAGACTTGCTAGGCAACTCCAGCCCTTAACATCTCTTTCCTCTGGACACCGAAGCTTAATGCAGGCTGTGCAATAGAACTTTCTATGTGTTCATTTATATATTTGTTGTTGTTACGTGCCAGTGAGTTGGCTACCTTTCTGGGCAACACAGGCTTAATACTTTACCATCCCTTTGATGATACCCTGTTGCATTGTATAGCTGAAGAAGTAATCCAGTTACCCCAGCAGATTGGAAATTCTGGGAAAAAAACATATTGTATCCTTCCCATCAACTTTCAGAAAGTTGCAAATATTAAATATTTGACAACTGATTTGTATGCCACCTCTTTGAAAACCACAAGCTAAAAAGGAGCTAGACTAATGCTTCTGGAATGATACTTCCCATCTGCTCCATCTCATATCTAAGTGGCAAGGCACACAGAGGCAGGGAGGCGCAAGCTCCTTTCTGGAGACACAAACTGCCAGTACTAAAGCATTCTGGCTTAAACGCCATCTAAGGGCACAACTGCCCTGAACACATTTTTCTTAGTAAATATCTCTTCCTATTAGCCAAATACCTATGGTCTGATGGTATATTACTCCTACTGAAAACAGCTACTTCCCAAGTTAGCCATAGTAATTACATAGAAAAAGAACCTAAACAAAGCCCTATTTGTATTTCTTTTTTCAACTGTTTATCAAAACTTCGTGTTCTCTGGGGACTTACAGCCTGTTGAAGGTATTTCACCATATCTGTTAGCATCAGGTCTTTGACCTCATTCATACTGATTCAACCCCTGCTTTGTTTGCATTGCCACCCCAGACCTACTAAAGCAGAATCTACACTTTAACACTAAGTATACTTAAGAATCAACTGTACTGATACTTTACCCAACAGGACTTACATCCACTCTGAACTAACACCTAATACAAAAGAAGACAAAATATACAGAATGTATGAGTTCTGCCACTATAGAACTCTACTGTCTTGAACAAGTATCTGTTCCTTTGGCCTCAATTTTCTTATCTAGGAAATAAGTTACTGTTATGTGAATGACCTATATCATAAACCCTCTATGTGTCAAGTCATAACTGAGTATTTCTAAATGTGGAGCTGTAGGATCAGCACTGGACTGTGAATCACAGAGTCAGGAGTTCAAAACCCACCAGCTGCTCCTTGTAAAACTATATACAGGGCAGCTATAAGTCGGAAGCAACTCGACAGCCCTAAATAACAACATCCTTCTCAAAAGACACATAAACTCACACATTCACACACGCACATATTTTCACGTATTTGCTAGTGGCTGTTTGGGGTGGGTATGCCAACAAACACAGAGACTCAGATCAGCCCTCCAACATCTATAATAACATTTTTTTAAATTCCAGACTCTTTCTCCCATTCCACTGTGCATGTCTGAGCAAAACTTCTCCTGGTACTCTACTCTAACATATATAATGAGAAAACAACTCTTTTGGCTCCGAGAACACAGACATCTTTATTTAAGATTTTTTAAAAAAAAAACAGAAAATAGGCTGAATCAAATCACAATACGGTACAAAGATCGATAAGATTTGAAGTTTTGATTTATTCAAACCAAAACTTCATTAGCACAGCTAGCCCAAAGGCCACATGCATATAATAAGTACATCCTTTACATACACACACACAATAAAACCCAGTAGACACACACACTCTGTATATTTAATAATGAAAAGGGACTAACCACCAACTGCGATGTGACAGAGTGATATGTACTACACATGGAACAGGCCATTTAGATGAAGGAGTGAATTTTGCTAACTTAAGTGTCGTCACCACGCCATCACCTCCCTCACCACCACCACCACCACCACCACCACCACTCAGAAACACAGGTAAAGTTTGCACACAAGTCTCCACACCAAGGACAAGCTGTCTTTGTTTCCCTTTCCTCTGCCATTTACCCGAGATCTTGGCTCTGCGACAGAAAACTCCCACTGTCGCTTAGTTCACTCTGTCCTGTGCAATTAAGCAACACCACAATCCAGTAAACGCATTGGCTCAATTATTTATCTTCTTCTGGCAGAGTTAATCAGGTGTTTATAAAAGAACAATGGCAAGGAGGGAAAGAGGTGTATCCCTTTCTAGGGCTGACTTGAATGGGGTTTTATTTCGTTTAGTTTTGTTTTAGAAAGGGGAAAAAGCGCGGCTTAACCTAGAATAAGATGGTTGGGAATTTAGAAAGAGTACCAGTCTGTCAATTTCCCTACAGGAAACTAGATTCTTACGCAATAAACCTGCCCACAACCAGCCAGCCCCTGAGGCTCTTGGGGGAAAGACACCTATCCTACCTCTAGAAGGTCGCAGCTGGCACCTAAAGGAGCGGGAAGCCGGCAAGGAGGAGGAAGTGGCTCCTTCCACGCCCCCGCCCCCAATGATCTCCTGCGGCCCGAACGTCCCCAGCGCCCCAGGGAGCAGGAAGTCGGGGGGCTGTCCCTCAGTCCTGCCACCCACCCCCGAGTGCTCTCCCCTCCATCATGCTCCTGAGTTCAGTCTCACTCTTCCTCCACTCCTTTCTCTAAAAAGGAACGAAACTTCCTCTCAGCGCCCCCTTTCGCTTCAGAGGCCGGCTCCTGTCATCCCAGGGAGTTGTCTCTTCAGAGTGACGCTGCGTGTCCCCTCAGATACCCACCCCACTGAAGTTCACAGTTTCCACCCGCCCCCAGCACACGCTCAGAAGCCCGCAACCGCTTCGGCGTCCCTGGGTCCCCCCAAGCCTGGGAGCGTCGGTTAAGGCGGCCCCACCCTTCACCCCCTTCACCCCCTTCACCCCCTTCACCTGTTTCTCCGGCTGAGGCCCGAATGGCCGGGGCTGCGCTTAGGTCTGGGTGTGGGCGCCGGGCTCCCTCAGGTCGCTGAGCCCTTGCCGGAAAATGGGGAGAGAAAACACCAAATTGGGGTGCTAGTCAAAGATCCGGTTCGGGCTCGCTCCCTCCGCGGCGACGTCGGAACCCCAGGCTCCTCCTCCCAGTCTCGCCGCTGCAGCTCCGGAAACGACTGAATTACAGCTCCTCCAGCCAATCCCTGTCCAGTGCTTGCCCTGCCTAGACCTGCCTTTTATACATAATTCATGAGATGGCCGCTTTCTCCGCCACTCAGAGATCCCGGTGTGCATATAGTACCTATGAAGCCCCACCTACTTACCAATGACAAGAGCCGCTTGGGGAAAAGGAGGAGCCAAAAAAGGCTAGGAACGCCCCAGTTCTAGCTGTTCCATAAAGCCAAGTGCTCCTCCCGCCGCAACAACCAAGGAAGAGCGTAGGCCATCAACACAGAGGCCCGGGGGGAGGGAGGGACGGTGACTGGAATGTCTTGCTGAAAACTCAGCTGAGTTCCTGGCAGAGCGTGACGTCAAGACACTTTAAATGCCCCTGATGAAGCTCCGGCCTGCCTGCTCTCCCTATTCCCGGCTCTTTGCACCACGTGGGGGCGAGGTGGGGAGCCTCTTACCACGTGGGACCCAGCCAGTCAGACAGTCCCCAGGTACTGCCAGATTTTCAGGGAACCCAACTCCTGAGTTGGGTGTCTGGGCAATAGCAAAAAGAACATGGGTGACTTCTGCTTGCTTTGAACTTCAGTGAGTGGGGACACACGCACCCGGAAACATGACGTGGAAATAAAGTAATTACTAGAGTGCGTGGGGAGAGGGAGTGGACTTAACTCTGTCCTCCGTTCATCGCCTGAAGCTTCATACTCAACAATATACATGAAGGTTTACACGTATACACACTACTTGACAGTTTTGTACCCAAATTGAAATACTTGATGATTTGCATACTAAGTAGATGGGTGGAGAAAAAAAATATATATACTGCTTTTTTTTTTCTCCACCTATCTACTTAGTATGCAAATTTTACTGAATTGAATCCAATAGGAAGTGTAGAGTTTGCATAACGGAGTCATATGTTGTTGTTAAGTACTGACAATAAATGATAAATTTTGCATAATGCAGAGATTTTTTTGTTTGTTTTTTTCATTTATTTTTACTGGTGTCAATGTTGTTAAGTGCTGTCCTGGTGTGGCACTGCAGGGGTAAGGCACTGAACAGCAAGGTCGGCATTAACCACAAGATCAGCAGTTCAAACCTCACCAGGCACTCCTAGGAAACCCTATACAGGGTCGCTATGAGCCGGAACTGACTCGACAGTATATAATAACAACGACAGTATTATATGTCATTGAGTCAATTCCTACTCATAGCGATCATAGGAGTTCTGAGGAGCACCCAGTGGGGTTCGAACCACCAACTTGGTTCGCGGTTTAGTGTTTATCCTACAGAAGCATTGTTGTTGTTAGGTGCCATTGAGTCGCCATAGCGACCTTATACGCAACAGAATGAAACACTGCCCGCTCATGGACCAACCTCACCACTGTTGCCACGCTTGAGCCCATTGATACTGCCACTTTGCCATCCCATCTCGCTGGGGGTCTTCCTCTTTTTCTCTGACCCTCCACCTTATTTTGAGTGCCTTCCAACCTGAGGGGCTCATTTTCCCCGCACTATATCTGACAGTGTACCTCTGCTATTCATAAAGTTTTCAGTGACTAAATATTCAGAAGTAGCTCGTCATTCCTTCCTAGTCTGTCTTCCTCTAGGTGGTGTGACCCTGGGTGACCCTGCTGGTATTTAAAATATCTGTGGCATAGCTTAAAATATCAGAATCACAGCAACTCACAAGCCACCACAGTACAACAAACTGGCAGACAAATGGTGGTACAGAGCTGTAAATTTTTACAGGAAAAAACCTTATCTTTCTCCTGATATAAAAAGGGTTTTAGATAACAGCTGTTAGTATTTGTGTTTGAAAACACAAATGTAAAAACAGCCCATTCTTTTATCATCCAGGTAAACCCTAGTATAGTGACTGTTTTAAAAAATGAAACTAATAGGAGGGGACTTTAAAAAGTTTGTGGAAAAATAGAATCAAAATATAAGGGGTGGGGGAAGATAATGGAGATTTTCCACTAACTTTTTGAAGCCCCTTCGTACATGTTCATGGTTAGAAAATTCAAACAGTTCAGAAAAGTAATAAATGAAAATCTCTTTTCTCCCCATCAGTTCCTGTGTCCAAGGATAACAATCCTTATTAGTTTTTGGTGAGATCACCCTCTGAAAGTCTTAATGGAGACTATGGATTCTAAACCCAGAAAACACAGCACCATTTTTTACTCAGAAACTCACATGGTTCTCCAGGTACTTGAAATTCATTAGAAACCTCCAGATTTGAACTTCTTATTGGCTAAGTACCATCAAATCAGTTCCAACTTATAACAACCCTATGTAGGATTTCCGAGGATGTACATCTTTATGGGAACAGGAAGCCTCATCATTCTTTGTGGGCTGGTGGGCTTGAATCACTGACCTTGTGATTCAGTCCATTGCTAATTATACAGAGATTGGATCTCCCTATATCAAGAGCTGCCTCTTCAAAGTAGATGATCTGAATGGAGTAAAGCCCTCAGGACCTTCATTTGCTGATGGAGCACAACTCAAAATATAAAGAAACAATTATAAACATCCATTAATAATCAGAGCATGAAATGTACACAGTATGAATCTTGGAGAATTGGAAATTGTCAAAAATGAAGTGGAACCCATAACCATGGATATCCTAGGCATTAGTGAGCTGAAAGCCAGCCCAGCCACTGGCCTTCTCCACATCTTCAGTTTCACATGGCTTCCGGGCTATTCTTTCCTCCCTCCAGCCTGTTTTTCCTCTGGCTGCCAGGGACATTGTCCTAAAAATTAAAAAAAAAAAGAATCATGTCTTAACTTGCTTTAAAATTTCCCTTGTCCCCTATTACCAATTTAGATTTTTTAAGAAATATTGAGCATCTAACTCTGCTCATGTGTTGGCTTACTGAGTCCTCCAAAATCTGGCCTAAACACCCTCTCCCCATCTCATCTCCTCTCTCCCACACATCCTAAGATCCCACTTACCACCTTCTTACAAACATTCTAGCACCTTCTGCACTCCATATGCTTATGGGTATTCTTCCTTCCACCTGGAATACCTTCCCTTCCCTGCCCTCATTCCATACCTGAAAAACAATATTATTCTTCAAAGTCCTATTCCAACATCACCTTATCTGGATGTTCCTAGATTCTGGAAAAATTCATCACTTCTTCTGTTGGACTTTGTCAACAAGTTACTTCCACATCAATCTATAACATTCATTGATTAGCCTACTTCCTGATAAATATCATTAATAATTAACATAACATAGTGGTTATGAGTCGGGCTGCTAACCTCACAGTCAGCAGTTCAAAACTACCAGTGGTTCTATAGGACAAAGATGAGGCTTTCTGCTCCCGTAAAGATTTACAGGCCTGGACGTGTTTCTATGCAGGGTCGCTATGAGTTGGAATAGACTCCATGGCACACCACCACCACTATTGTCACTGTATACTAGACACTGTTTTAAGCATGTATTAACTTGTGTAAAGATACCTATGAACTCATCCGATCCTTACAATGATCCCTTAGGGAGGATACTGTGATTTTGTTGTTGTTGCTTGTAACCAAGAGCTTAATTGTGTCACCAGGGCCTTTAAAATGAAACTTACCCAAAGTTAAATGGCTTGCCAAGTTCCAACTCATAGCAACCCTGTATAGGGTGTCCAAAGAGTTACTGGTGAGTTTGAACCACCAACCTTGTGATTCAAACCGACCTTGCAATCCTGCACTTATTCTACAGTGCCACACCAAGACGTTGTTGTTGTTAAGTGCCATCGAGTCAGTTCCAACTCATAGCAACCTTGAATAGGGTATTCAAGGAGATACTGGTAAATTTGAACTGCCAACCTTGTGGTTCAAACTGACCTTGTGGTCCAGTGCTTTATCCCACAGCTCTAAGAGCATAGAGTGTGGTAAATAGCAAAGCCAGGATTCAAATCGAAATGTGTCTGCAGACAGCACAGACCCGGTCAGGAGGCCAAGCCCCTGTGGGCCCAAGCGTTGTTGACCGTCCAAACCATAGGCTCTGAGGATCAGACTCTAGCTACCTAGTAGACATAACAAACTGTCCCACATCTGATTATTCAGTAATGCTTGTTAGTAATCTCATACGTGAGCCCTGGATATCCACAGACAAATGTAAAAACCTCCCC